GGCCAAGCAGGGTGGCCGACTCATGCCCCATGCTGGAGGGCCTGGCTGGCACCCTGGGCCCAGGTCCTGTCCTCTGTGCGGTCRAGGGCCTGATTGGCACCCTGGGCCCAGGTCCTGTCCTCTGTGCGGTCAAGGGCCTGGCTGGCACCCTGGGTCCTCGTCCATCCCCCTGTGCAGTCAAGGGCCTGGCTGGTACCCTGGGTCCTCCATCTAATCCCCTGCACCCAAAGTAATAAGAAACAGCGACCAGTACTCTTCGCGGGATGCTGAATTCACCAGTAGAACTGTGGGCTTTCTGTCTTCATTTACAAGGCTGAGTTTTGCTTGAGTCTCCCCTAGTCTGAGGGAGCTTCTCCTTCAAGTGATCTACAGGCAGCAGAATTTGGACGTGGGCTTTTCTGAATATAGGTTGTTGTGGTCCAGATGTGAGGCGTCCCCAAAGCCCAGGCGTGAGGCGGGGTGAGGAGGTTCAGAGGTGCAGAGCCTGGGTCAGGAGGGCCTTACCTAAGCAGTGCACTGCTCCCTGACAGGGAGTAGCTGGGTGGTGACCACAGGCAGGTGGGGTCTGGCTGGGRGTGGGGGTCCTGGAGGCGTGCCTTGGGGTGTATATTTTGTCCTTGGTCAGTGGGGCTCTCTCTCTGTCTCTGCTTCCTGGCTGCCAAGTGCTGAGCTGCCTTCCTCCCCCACACCCTCCACCATGACGTGCTGCCTCACTGGGACCCAGAGCATGGAGTCAGCGTCTGTGGATGGTTCACACACCACAACATTCAGAACACTTTTCCTTTCCTGGTACTACGGTGAACACTCAGAATTCTCTATCACAAGCCACACGCCTTTTCAAGTAGTAATAAACACCCCCATACTTCCCTCCAGAAGAGACATTACCAGTTTACATCCCCACCAACCTCGAAGGCAGAAACAAAGATGTGAGCTGATGCTGGACTTCACTTCTCCCGGCGTGCGGCTGGGAGCAAGATGGCTGTGTGGTGCCGGGCCTTGGGCCACCAGCCCTGCATGTTCAGGCCAGCACTCCCCAGTTCACACGCGGCCCACGGGAGCTGAGCCCAGTCCCATTTTCTTTGGGAGCTGGTGGGTGCTGCCTGAGGCTCAGGAAGTCYTTGATGTGCAACACGGTATGCATCTGGAATGTCCACTGAAGGCTTGTGTGTGGACAGGCAGCAGTGTCCAGAGCTGGGCTCTAGGGTACCAACTGGCTCAGAAGTGGGATTCATAGCTGAGTGGACTATTGGGAGGTGGGGCCCGGAGGAGGGGAGGGGTCACCTGGGCCTGACCTGAAGGGACCACCTAGGTGGCAGCTTTGACCTGACACTCTCCCTGCCAGCTGGACCAAAACCTCTGGACCCTGAGCCAAAATGACCCTCCCCCTTGACGTTGTTTTCTGCAGCACTGTGTCACAGTCAGGAGCGGCTAACGCGCAGCTGAGACCAGAGCCCCTCCTCAGCTTGGGGGGATCCTCCCATCCGCGCTCTGACGGCTTTCTGTCTGCCGCCTCTCCTCATCTTTGCCCCTATGACCTGCAGGTCGGCTCATCCTGAGTCTGCATCCCCGTCTCCACTTTCCCCCAGAATCTCCACCTGCGACTTCCTGCGCACTGAACATGACCAACCTGGACTCAGCCAATGTCTGTCTTCACAGCCTCTGCCCAGGGTTTGGAAGCATATTCTCCTGGTTTCAAGTTCATCGTGACATCTCTGATCTCACTGAGAATGCACCTCTGAAACCACGAGCCCAGAGAGACTTCTCCTYCTCCGCTGTCCTTGCCGGCCTTTCGGTCCCAGCAGGGAGCTGACTCCAGAGACGTGCGGCATCAACTATGTTCTCCTTATTAGATTCCTGCAGAATTAACAAATCATCCRTGCAGATATTTCACTTTTTATGATGTGATGATTTGTATAAGTTCAGTAAAAACCCATCCTCTTTGTTACAGGATAAGAAGCCTGCTTCGAGGGGCTTGGTCTTCCAGGGAGTGGGCGAGGGCYGGAGCCTTGGGCCTTGTGCTACAGGTGAGATCCATGTCCCCGGACTTGCCTCCAGTCTTAGGAGCTGTCTGATTTTGTTTTGTTTTGATTTTTGCACCAGGGATTGAACCCAGGTGCACTTAACCCCTGACCTCCATCCCCAGCCTTTTCCATTTTTCATTTTGAGACAGGTCACGCTAAGTTGCTGAGGCTGGCCTTGAACTTGCAATCCTCCTGCCTTAGGCTCCCGAGTCACTGGGGTTACAGGCTAGTGCCCTGTGCTGGCACCTCAGGAAGCCTGTGTTCCATGATTACTAGATGGTAGATCACAGTTCTCGCTGAACTTATGTAAATCATCAAGTAAAACTAAACTTGTTTTGCAAACCAACTGATTTTTCTGTGGTGATTATCTTTGATAGAAATTGGTATGAACATGGAGAGAAATTAAGTTTCTAAAGAAAACTCTGGTGCACCTGTTGTTAGAGTGTGGCTCTGTTCCTTGTTTTTCAGGTTTTGGGCTTGGGGATTTGGGGATTTGGGAGTTTTTTTGTTTGTTTGTTTGTTGAATCTACCTGTAGACTGGTCTACAAATTCTTCTTGGGTCCCCCAACCCAGTTTTCTTCCATGGAATATCTAAGAACAGGGTCTGGTCTTTCCTGACGTCCAGCCACCGAAGCTGCCCAGCCTGAGGTGAAGGTCAAACTCCACCAACTGCCCAACGCTGTGCCGAGACACGTCAAACCACCCCCAGATGGGGAATCAACTGGAGACAGACTCCACCTCAGACTGAGATTCTGGCCCCTTTAACATTCCTCAAGAGGCACATTTTAAAAGCACAATCCCCAATGCAGAAAGGTTCAGAGGTGGGGCTTTGAGGCAGTGATGAGATTTTGAGAGCTGTAACACTGGTGGATTGATTCACTTGATGGATTAACAATTTCATTGGATGACTGGGTGCTCACTGTAGGCAGGTAGGGTGTGGCTAAGGTCATAGGTCACTGGGGCATGACCTGGAGACTATATCCTGTCCCTGGCTTCTCTCTCTCTCTCCCTCCCCCTCCCTCCCTCCCTCCCTCCCTCGCCCCCACTCCTTCTGGCTTCCATGAGCCAACAGCTCCCCTCTGCCATCCCCTTGTGCCATGAGTTCTGCTCCACCTCAGGCCAGAGCCTCTGAAACTGTGAGCCCCAAATAAACTTTCCTCCTCTAGGTTGCTCTTGTTGGGTATTCTGACTAACACACCCCTCTCATTTTCTTCTTGCCCAGGCCTGCCTCTTCACAGGCAGGACCATGCAGTAGTTAACCCCTCGTGGTCCACGGCTACTGGGGGCCACGTGGCAGGTCAGGCCCAATAAGCCCTGATGTCCACCGAGTGGGTGTTGTTGGCAACATCTCCACTGCAAGCCTGTTCAGAGGACACTGGTGGCCCTTTCCCATGACGCTGTTCAGCTCAACCCAACCACGGGCTCTCGGATGATAAAACCACTCTCAATTATTTATTGTTAAGTAAAAAAAGATGCCTGTGTTGCTGCTGCTACTAGATGTTCACCTGGACAAATCCCTCTGGGTATGATGAGACCCAATGATAAAATAAAACAAAGCTCTAGTGGCTTGATTCAGAACCAGTGGGGTCCTTGGCATACCTGAGGGAAAGAATTTCAGCAAGAGCCAGACCAAGGCGTGGATAGGGGCTTATGGAGCAAGTAGATCCACACTCAGGGGAGAACATGGCCATCTCAGAGTGAGCAGCCCTACGTGGGCTGGGATCCAAAACGCAGACAGGCTGTACTTAGGAGCCGGGCTTGAGGTACAGGGTGCAGCTGCACAGTCCCGACTTTTACAAGAGGAGTGTGATTTCTGCCTCTCGGTGGCTCCTGGATGGTTCCTTCACAACTCAATGTCTCTCTCTCTCTTTATCCTAAATCCTTGCCTATGTTACAGGTGCCACCTCAGTCTCCTTGGTCCTAGGCCCATAAAGCCAGGTCCCAGGTATTTTGCAAACCAGATCTGGCCTCCTCTTAGGTTTGGTTTTGTATTGTCCTCCTTAAACCCTACACCTGTGGCCTGCCAGAGTTCTACAGAAGCACGACTCACAAAACGACATCAGAGCAGAAGAAGCACACTGGGCAGCAGGCTCCCAGCAGATGTGGCCCAAGGACCTCTCCCCGCACGCTCCTGGCCACAGACGTGGCTTGGCAGATCTTGRCACCGACCCATGGTCGCCAGGTGCCCCCCCATGTGGGACTAGCCCAGACCCAGAGCTGATACAGGCCCATCCCGCACCAAGGGATGATCACAGGCTGACTGCAAGTCAGATGACCAGAGACGTTTCCAGACGGTCTCCGTCACAAGAGGGAAATGCAAAAACGGCAGGATGGGAACACCATGGCTCCAGCCTACCCTGACAGAAGTGTATCGAGGAGGCTGCAGGAGGCATCCCCTGGGCTCGGCCTGTAGGGAGCTGTCAACACACAGTAGCAGCCCTCCCCGGAACTACAGCTTTTTAACTTGGAGATTTCACATAAAAACCTGTATTTCCAGGGCTGAGGCTGTGGCTCAGCAGTACCGCACTTGCTTGGCATGTGTGAGGCACTGGGTTTGAATATCAGCACACAAATAAATAAATAAATAAATAATAAAGGTCTATCAACAACTAAAAAAAATAAAAATTAAAAAACCCTGAATTTCCAGCTTCTCTTGAGAATGCAGGTCTGCCTCTGGGACTCCCTGGGGGCCAGCCCACAGCCCCGCCCCTGGCTCCCCAGCAGCCACCCACCGCCCCACAGCCAGGTCTGTGCCAGCTCTTGGTGGAAGACAGCTGAAGTGAGCTGAAGACAGCTCACTCTCCTCCAGAACCACATCCCTCCTGGACCCAGCCCGACAGCCACACACGGCAGCTCAGACCCAAGGCTGAGAGGGCACAGGAGTGGACCGCTGCTCCACCTCGGCCAGGCGCRCAGGACATCGCCCTCCTCTGCTGCCTCTGTTATCCAAGTCCAGGTCAAACCTCTGTGATTGCTGGCCTAGGCATTCTTCAGCCCCGGGCTGGCACTGTAGTACCGCTGCGGCAGGTCCAGGAATKCGTGCAGACTTTGGAGTCCTTGGAAGGCAGCAGGTACTCCTGGTGGTAGCTGCGCCACGGGGTCTCTCAGGTTGGAGAAGTAGAAGGTGTGGTTGGACACGACTTTCTGCACCTGTTCCCAGAAGGAAGAACCAATCGGGTGCTAGGTGAGGGCTGAACCTACTCACAGAGACCCCCCACCTCCTGCCTGCAGGTGTCAGTGAGGCCTGTGGCTTGTCGTCGGTGGACGCCTCCCCAGAGCCCAGACCCAGTGCCAGCCCCACAGGGCTCACTGGTGCTGTGCCTCAGACCAGGCCACCTTGCCTTCTGCCAGCCATTCTCCCTGGAACGCCCAGAGAGACCCTGAAAGGCGACACCCTCCCCCCTTCAACGCCTCCGGCCCTTAGGGTCTTCCTGAAAGCAGCTCAGGAGTCCCCTGGGGGGAGTTCATCTCAGCTGACACCTCAGGACCTGGAGGAGGATCCATGGAGCCCACCCTCACCCAAGGCAGCTGCAGAGGTCGGAGGTGGAAGTCGGGCTTGCTCAGGGAGCAGGGGGGCAGAGAGAAGGAGGGGGCTGCCCTCTGGTACAGGGCAGGCAGGCTAGTCTCCTTCCAAGGGCAATTAACTGTGGCCCAGCGGCCCAGCCCCTCAGCTGAGGCCCTTCTCTCTCCTCCAGGCTGCGTCTGCCCAAGCCCCAGTCCACACCTCAAGCCCAACCTCCAGCCTGCACCACCCACACCTCGGGCAGGTTGAACCTCAGGTGGTGGCACATGATGTCCAAGTGCAGGGAGGATCAGGTGCATCCTGGTGGGCGCTCTCCACGTAGTGTGCCAAGAAGAGCCAGGGAGAGCCTGGGTGGGAGCGGGAGCCGACAGCGGGCAGTGCTGTGGTCAGGTTGTGCCCCTCGGCACAGTGGTAGAGGATGTCTTGTGTGTCTTGAGGAACATGACATTGGTGGTGGGTGGCCCCTCAKCCTGGCCACTGAACAGGCTGGAGGAGAGCACAGGCCACAGTCACATGCCCAGCACCCAGCAGCCCACCCTGGGGACACCCAACCTCTGCCATCACCATGCCCTCCCAACACTGTGGCCCAGCCTCATCTCTGCGCCACTCACCTGAAGACTCGGAAGCCCCTGGCACAGAGGGACCTGCAGGGCAGGCATGACCACCTCCATGGCCCTCTGTTCCCACAGATGCTGCAGGCTCAGGGTACCTCAGCCACACATCCACCATTTCCTGGCTGACCCTTCACCCCGCAACAAGAAAGGGCCCTGGCACCCAGGCCAGTCAGCCTGACGCAGGGCCAGAGAGGGCGAAGGCTGACTGGCCTGGGTGTCAGGCCCCTCCCCGCCCCAGTGCAGGACAGGAAGAGTGACCC